TGTTTCATGCGATTTTTTACTGCTCCGGTCGATGCAACATGCCCTAGAACAAGGGTTCTCAACCGGGGATGCAAAAAAACGTTCTTGGGGGTGCGAGGAAAAGTAATTGTAATTAATAATGATTAAGATGAATTCTGGTATAATCCGGCATTTTTACCACCAAATTAAACAAAGTGTTATTAAAATTATATATTTTTTACATATCTGTATGTATATTTTCACTACGTATCGCTATGCGAAGCTTGATACCATGGATAATTTTATAATATTAAAATGATAATTAATTTCTATAAATACTATGTAATAAAAAATTATTATAAATTAACTGCTTATCTTAACTCTTTCACTGCTGAATTAACTTCCCTTGAGAAAATTATTAAAATATTTGGTAGTCCTACGTTTTTTGGGTCGTTAATTACGAATCTAAATTCAGATTTACAAAATTCGAAATAGCGGACTCAATATGACGATCATGATATACAAAATTAATGAAAATTCCAATTATTATTAAATAATGACTAAGTCGTAATAAGAACATATGATTCTAAACGATAGAACTCGATCGAGCTGGAAAAAATTTATGTGGATAAATGTTCATTACTGCATATTTATGCTTACTAGAGATTAAACATTCATTTCTGAGTAAAATAATATTGATAGTATGGATAAAATAGAGATATAGAATGAAAAAACTAGGAAAATTGAGCTAAAAAGTGCAAAGAAATAAAATTTCGGCCGTTTTTGCAGAAATATTTGTTTATAAAAAAAAATCTAACCTGCAAAAAAATATTGAAAAAATATATTTTTGTATAACATCAGAAAAATATTTGGTGAAAAATTCAGACTTCTACATTCAATACTCTCTAACGAATCGATTTTTCCCTAAAAAAAGCATAAGAAAAGCATTTTTTCAACTTCGATTTGTTATAAATAATCACAAATGAATAATTGGGTATAAAAATTATTGGAGTATGTTGAACAATTATTCAGTTATCTGGAAAACTCAAATCCCCGATTAGTTCTTCAAAATTATGTGATTTACAACGCAAAATTGAATCAAGAAAAGGTGGGAAGTATATTTCCCACTAACAGTGAAAGGGTTAAACCCCTAACAGCTAATGTTTATTATAAAACATACGAATAATTTTTTTTGTAAGGGTTGCGGAGGTTAATTAGTAAATTTTTAGGTGTGCGAAATGTAGAAAAGGTTGGGGAACTCTGCTCTAGAGGATACATACTTTTATAATTTCGAACAAGTGCGAAAATTTGTAGAAAATTGGATCAACTCCAAAGTAGAATCTTTTTATCGTCGCGGAATCCATCTCTTGCGAGATGGGTAAAAGTTGCAAAAAACGAAAAAAAATATTTTGATTAATGTATTTGTTTATTATCTTGTTTCAGTAAGTCATGACTTACTGAAACAAGATAATAAACAAATACATTAATCAAAATATTTCTTCAAAACTAAATCACATTCCTAATAATTTCTTTGCAGATTTCTATTTGCTTACAATATTTCCTCGCACTGACTGAAGCACCATTTATATTTACCAATATCATTTTTAATAACATTATAGTTTAGCTTCAGGTTTTCTCTTCAGCTTGGTTTTGTAGATATTCAGGATAAATCACACACAGCTAACGAACAGACAGCTGATAGCAACTACCGATTTCCAAGATGTCAGCGAGCAATTGCTCGAACTGTCGGCGCCGGTAGTCCGTTCATAATTATAATTGTAATTCCCGCACTTGCCACTTGGCTCTTAATTCCACCCGAGACGTGTTTCGATCGATAATATATAACATTTGAGGTAAGAACACGGGTTTAGTGCAAAGATGGACCCGTATTAGCCAATTTACCGCGGAAGACAGATGCAATTGCCACAAATTGCACCGCTGCTGCGCTAATTAGGACATTCACCTCTTGAGCCATCAAAGACACTGACGTTTTTTTCTTTCATCCTTTTCCAGATTAAATCGCCGGACACACGCACGCACGCACGCACGCATCGGACAAGATTTCACACTCGGTGTCCAGCGTGGGAAATGGCGGAACCGTAAAGTTCGCAAACCGTTAGCAAAATAACAATGAGACGGGGAGCAACGGTGCGATCGGGACGCGGCGTTAATAAGGGCGCAGGCAGCCTAATGAGTGGCATTACGACACCGCGTAATATGCAAACGGTGAGATTATGCGATGAGCGCCGCGGATTGTTGTCCTCGTGAATTTATAACGAGCCGTAGTAAACGTAGTAGTAACCTACTGTTACCATCGCGCGCGAACACTACGAACTCGCTCCTGCATTCCTCGCTCGCTCGCTCGCTCGCACATACGCATGCACGCACGCACGCACGCGCGCGCTTGTGCAAAGAGAGCGCGATGATACATGTCTTATGCGGCTGCGACGCGTTGAAGTCTCCCGACGTGGCGCATAGTCAGGCGTTGAAGTCTCCGCGCGGCGACGCGGCGCTTCGCGAGTAAGTAGCAGGGGTATTTGGCAATCGAAAGGTCGTTAATTCATTTAGAGATCATTCTTCGGGAAATTAATTCATTCCTCACCGCGTGATAATGAGAAAAGTTGTCTGGATGAAGCGGCTAGTTTCTGCAATTGTACGTTTGCGGATTCTCAGTCGAAATTTTGACACTCGAGGTACAGCCGAGTCAGAAATCTAATATTTCACACATACGTATACTTATAATATCTCATTTTTATATGTATGTATGTATGTATGTGTGTGTATATATATATATAAAGGGTGTCCCAAAATTCACGCAAGTAATTTTGATAGACAACACAGGTTTATAATTAAAAATTGTAAGTTTTTTATTGAATCATAAAACATACAGTATAGGGTTATGTATGGAATAGCATATCGGGTAAATGACCTCCACAGCTTTGCTGGCACATACGCACTCTTTTGTTGAAAGTTTCCATGACCGTTTTGCATAAATGTGGCTAAATTTCGTTGATACAGCGCTCAATTTCCTCCCTCAAGGCGTGGGTAGTCGTAGGCTTGTTGGCATAAACCTTAGACTTCAAAAGAAAAAAGAAAAAAGAAAAAAGTCCAACGGCGTTAAATCGCATGATCTGGGCGGCCAAATCTGATCACCAAAACGGGAAATTACACGACCAGGAAATGACTCATGCAGTAATTGAGTTGTTTCTCGGGCTGTATGGCATGTGGCACCGTCTTGTTGAAACCACATGTCGTCCACATCCATATCTTGCAATTTAGGCACAAAAAACTGGATTATCATGTCGCGATAGCGAGCACCATTAACTGTTATTGCCTGACCAGCCGCATTTTCGAATAAGAATGATGCCTCCAGCCCAAAATCCGCACCAAACAGTGACACGTTGTGGATGCATTTGTTTCTCAACAATCACTCGTGGATTTTCTGAACCCCAAATGCGACAATTTTGTCGATTAACCAAACCATCAAGATGAAGATGAGCCTCGTTACTGAAGATGATTTTGTTCGGAAAATCAGCATCCATTTTAAAATATTGCTCAACAATGATAACGCGTTGTTCTTTCGTGTAGCACTCCATTTAAAAAACCCTGAACTGTCAGCTGTCACGCTGTCCTTTTTTTTTCGTTGGCAACACTTTACTGCACAAATGGCGCAAAATTCAAATCTTGCGTGAATTTTGGGACACCCTTTATATATATTAAAAAGTATATAATTAAATTAAAATTAAAATTATGTTTATTTTCTTCCGGTAAAACAGGATATTAAGCCCAGGCCTAATGTTGTAACTCAAAATGAACCGTATTCGCAAGGTATTATTCCGACATGTGAAATATTTTGGAGGTTAATAGAAACATAAAACATTTATTTACTCATAATAACAGTGTCTTTGTGTATTAGGAAGAAACAGATCTATTCGTGATACATCCAACTAAAAATTCCGTAAAAATTGATACTCTAAAGTTTTGTAGTTTACTGAATAAGAATGTGAGGTTAAAGTATGGCAATTCCAAATGACGGATCCAAAATGGCGGGAAAAAATAAAAATCTATCTGATTATTATGAAACTCGGTATCTGGGAGTTTTTTAGGTGACTGAATAAGAATTTGAGGCCAAAATGTGGCAATTCAAAATGGCGGACCCAAAATATTTTTTTATTAAATTTCTGAAAAGATCTAATCACTATATTACATATACTGTCTTGAATTTTCAAGTCATAAACTCAAATTCGTTTTCAGCAACCTGAAAAACCTGTAGATATCAGTTTCACAATAATCACAACAATTTCCTTTTTTTGACTATCATATGAGATCCGCCATTTTGAATCTTGAAATTCATATTCAATAACTTGAAAAACTCCTACATATCGAATTTCATGAAAAATCAGATACATTATTTGGCTTCGCGATTTTAGATTCGCCATTTGGAATTTTCATATTTTGACCTCAAACTCATACTCAGCCACCCGAAAAACATTTTAGTACCGACATTTATAGAAATCAAGCATGATTTGTATGTTGCCATTTTGGGTTCATAGTTGATGCTATTTCTCAGTGCCAACGAAGTGGTTAATATTCTTGGCGAGAAGACAGAATTTTGTCAAAAGTAGCTCATACTTGACTCATCGTTCCCACGACCGGCCGGATCCGCGTGGAAAGTGGCAGGATCTGATTTTTCATCGGACTAGTGTCAATCACCTAGTGCCTCATTATTCTCTTTTGTCTCGGCGAGGTGAGAACGGCGCGACCCGCGACAGCACTCCGGCAGCTTCAGCGGCTCGCTGAGCGCTGACGCGAAGACAACAACAGGAACACGAGAAGAGTCCCCTCGCAGAAAGAGCGAACAAACAGCTGAAATATATGAAGCACCTATGAGAGGCACGCAACTACGAGAGGTCGCGCGGTGTGGGGGGAATTAATCGGCGAGGGAGCCGAATACACGGCGAGGAAGCGGGCAAACGGGAAGAACCAAGATGAGGAACGGCGGTACTCGAAGATCTCGGACTGTCAGTCGGTGGTCAACCGTCACGGAGGAAGGACGTGGTGGATCGCGGCTGCTCTTCTGCCTCGCCTCGCCTCGCCCCGTCTCATCTCGCCTCACCTCGTCTCGCCTCGCCTCGCCGCGCTTCGCGTCTCGCCTGTTCTCTCCGTTTCTTCCTCTCCCTCATCTCCTTCTTCCTCTCTCCCGTCGTCCCGGTCGGAAGGAGCATCGCGTGTACGGCATCGCCGCTTCATGTACGTGTCCGTCGGCGGGCAACGAGCGGACATGAAACAATTTACACAGGACTAGCTACCGCGACGGTGTGCATCGGCCACTTCGCTCGTCCTCGCGAAAGAAAGCGGCAGGAACAACCATCACGTGTCCTCGTTAACCAGCACGCCCTTTCGTCATGGAGCCGGGCGGCAGCTCGACGAGCCACCGCCGAGAAGCGTCGTCGTAGAAGCCGCAGCCCGAAGCTCACGCCAACTGCCGATTGCGGGAGGGAAGCCAGCGGAGCTCGGAAAACCCGCGGGAAATGGCCTCTGTGTGCGGCGCCGGCGGCGCAAAGACCAACGCTATGATGAACGCCGGCGGCTACTATAGGCCGGGTCCTTACACCTACCAGGTGAGTTTTTCTGTCATGAATTTTCGAACGGAAGAGAACAACACGACGCGGAGTCGCGTTTGTTCTCGGCTCGAGCGGAGCGTGCGACGAGTCCTTGAAGAGGCGCGCACAGGAGCAGACGTGTCCTCGTGTCTAGCTCGCACCATCGCACTCATGAAGAAGCCGGCTCTCATTGACGAGCGAAGCCGTCTGTCGCGCCAATGGGCGCAGGATGCACGCTCGGCGTCCTGAAGGAGGAGCGGCAGGCTTCTTTCGCGAGGCGACGCGCGCCGGCCGGGATGAGGCCGGCACGAAATCAGGCGACCTTACGCCGCCGAAACCTTGGCCTTGTCTCGCACGAGAGCGTTATATAAGCCCGCGAGAACATCGCCGCGTCGCGAAGACGACGAAGGCAACGATGGCGTTCTCCTTCTGCTTCTCTCTCTCTCTCTCTCTCTCTCTCTCTCTCTCTCTCTCTCTCTCTCTCTCTCTCTCTCTCTCTCTCTCTCTCTCTCTCTCTCGAGCCGCGCTCGAGCCGTACGCCTCCCTCTACCGCGACGGCCGCTATTCTCGACCCTCGCCGCTCTTCTCCCGTTCTCTTTTTTCTCACTTGACAGTCCGTCGAACCCTTTCTCGTTACCGAAGAGACGTACGCCCGAAATAGAAACACGCGACGGCGAGGGTGCACGCGCGCACCGGCTTCCTCGCGCGCGCTCGTCTCTACGGCCGCCGGCCGGGAAGCGTCCGGACGTCTTCACCGAGCTGCTCCGCGAATTTCGCGAGATTCGGAGTCGCGAATTTCCCAGACTAGTCTGTCGTTGTCGGAGAAACAAGAAACCGCGGCAAACCGGAGGCCAGCTCCAATCGAGAGCGATCTTTTTATATGATATCTGTCTCTAGTGTGTCCTCCCGCTTGTCAAAACAAGGATAATGCGCCGATATTATTGGGTTATTATTCGGCCGAGACTCGCGAGGTCGTTCATCGCGACCCGGCGTCATCGAGGTCGGATCATAAAATGACTCGCGATATTCTTTTTAATAAACTGACCCGGGATGTCTCTTTAAACCTGTAAAATATTTTAGCAAATTATCCTATGTCAAAAGATTGCTATTCCGTAAAAGCTATTAACTTTTAAAAACTGTAGTTGACGCTGCGAGGATAGATCGAAAAATATTCGGGTCGATATTATTCGGATATTATTCAGTCGAGGTTCGCGAGTTCGTTCATCGCAAATTTAACCGGCGTCGTCGAGGCTGGATCATAAAGTGACCCGCGATATTTTTCCAACTCTTTAAATATTTTAGCAAATTACCTATGTCAAAAGATCGTTATTCCATAAAAGCTACTAGCTATCGAAAATCATAGTCGACATTGCGAGTGTAGACCAAAAAATATTCGGATCGATATTCAGATATTATTCAGTCTAGTTTGTTCATCGCGAATTTAATCGGGACTAGGGTGACCATATCCCAGTCATAAAAAAAGAGTAAAAGGCGGGTAAAAAAAAGTGTATAAAAGAGTACTAATTACGGTCCCAAAAGAGTACAGTAAGTAGAACACAAAATCATATAAGAGTCAAGGTGACGTCAAATAATATAAAAATTATGTCATTTTGACGTCGAAATGATTTTGTGTTTTATCTGGGATAATGATCAATGGATTACTAGGTACAATATTTAAAATAAAACATAGTGGGTACTAAATAAACCGAGAAATAGCCAGATACATATATTTTATTATATTATTAAGATATTTTATAATTATATTTTGCACTGCTCCGTACATCGCTTAACAATTTCTTATTGTTTAGACAATAATCGTAAAATTCAGAACAATTAAATTCTTTATGATTATATTTAACCATTAATAAACTTTTCACCGAGTCAACAGTAAACCTATTTCTTTCATCAATCCATTGAGCGTTCATTATACTGAAAACTCTTTCTACGTTTGCATTGTGACTCGGTAGTTGCGCAGAACCTCTACGCATAATCGGTATTGGCGCTCGCGGCGCTCAAATGCTGTGAGTGACAAAAACATCACCGAAGTCTGCTCTCTGGTCATTTATATCGACAAAGTATAATTAACATTACGAAAAAAGAGTGTATACAAGAGTACGATACGTAAAAAGTAGAGAGTACTCTTTTTACCACCTTAAAAAGAGTACATATGCTCTTAAAAGAGTATATATGGTCACCCTAACCGGGACGTCTCTTTAAACCCGTAAAATATTTTAGCAAATTACCTAAATCGAAAACTGCTATTCCATAAAGGCTACTAGATTTCGAAAACTCTAGCTGATGCTGCAAAGGTAGAACAAAAAATGTTCGGATCGATATTATTCAGTCAAATTCGTTCATCGCGAATTCAATCCGGCGTCATTGAGGCTGGATCATAAAATGATCCGGGACGTTTTTTTCAACCCGTTAAATATTTCAGAAAATTACCTATGTCAAAAGATTGCTATTCCATAAAAGTTACTAGCTTTCGAAAATTAAAGCTGACGCTGCCAGAATAGAACAGAAAATATCCGGATCGATATTATTCAGTCGAGTTCGTTTATCGCGAATTTAACCCGGAGTCGTCGAGGCTGGATTATAAAATGACCCTGGACGTTTTTTTTTTTAAACAGTTAGATATTTTAGCAAATTACCCATATTTAGAAACTGCTATGCCATAAAAGCTACTAACTTTCGAAAACCGTAGCTGACACTACGAGGGTAGACCAAAAAATATTTCGACTGATTTGTTCGGGAAGATTCGCGAGTTCGCCCATCGCGAATTTAACACGGCGTCATCGAGGCTGGATCATAAAATGACTCGGGACGTTTTTTCAAAGCCGCTAAATATTTTAACAAATTATCTATATTAAAAGATTGCTATTCTATAAAAGCTACTAGCTTTGGCAAACTGTAACTGACGCTGCCAAGGTAGAACAAAAAAATATTCGGGCCGATATTATTCGAATATTATTCAGAGTTGAGACTCGCAAGTTCGGCCATCGCGAATTTAACCCGGCATCATCCAGGCTGGATTATAAAGGACGTTTTTTTTCCACGTTTTTTAAATATTATAGCAAATTACCTATACTAAGAGACTGTTATGCCATAAAAGCTACTAGCTTTCGAAAACCGTAGCTGACACTGCGACGGTAGAGCAAAAAATATCCGGACTATCATGGCTCACTTCATCATACGTGCAACATTTTACCACCACAATGACGCCGGGTAAGTTCTCGCCACGCGTGCAAATGACTTTTTTCCTTTCACATTGATAGCTCCCCCCCTCTCTCTCTCTCTCTCTCTCTCTCTCTCTCTCTCTCTCTCTCGCTGGCACGGCGCCGTTCGTTTAATCGGGCGCTCAAGCCCGATCGTCGTCGACACATGTCGTCCGCAAGCGGCGCGCAACGGTACCGTTATCGAGTCAACTAGGTGCGACAATTGCGACGATAGCGCAGCGTTTATTCGCGGCGAATCATGTCACGCGCGATAAGCGTCCCTGCTGAGACGCACCCCCGACGAAGGTCCGTGAGGAGGACATCGCGCCGCGAACGGAACAACGGATTTCACGTATGAGTGCGCGGTGATTTGCACATAACGTTCCTCTTCCGCAGTCGCGATTTTGCAACGGACAGCGGGGAGCGGATTTTTCTCTCCCGCCGAGAGATCGCTCGAACGCGCGCGACAGCACGGGAACAGCTGAGAGCGCCTCGGCCGAGCGATTATGACATTTCCTCGCTAATGAACCGCGCGCGCTCACCTGCGCTGAAAAAGATACGTGTCCAGGCATGCCTTTCTTATCTACCCACGGTCACTACAATAGCTGACAGTTAGGTTCAACGTACCCGGAATATGAGCGCGTATACGGCCGTGCACAAAGAGCGTGTGTGTGAGAGAGAGAGAGAGAGAGAGAGAGAGAGAGAGAGAGAGAGAGAGAGAGAGAGAGAGAGAGACGCGCCGTTAACGAATCATAATTTAATAACAAGGGTTTTTGGAAATCGACGGATCAACCCGCGAAGACGGTGTTAATTTTTTCTTTCCAGCGCGGCGCCTTTCAGATGTGTGATACGTCGATATTGATATCGAAAAGCGACAGTTAGAGGCTCTCTAGCTAGAGACTTGACGTCTTGACCTTGCTGTCTGATCGGCCAAGTCTCAAAGATGATCGAATGCTATTTAATAAAAGACGCTCGCTGCTCAGGAAATTCGCCGGCACGGTTGCTGTATAAGATTCTTTGCTAATTTTAATCCTTTGGTAAATTTAATTTTCTGAATATCACACGCGACAAATAATCGCGTTTTATGTAACGCCATACATTGCACTAACATACAGGGTGTCCGGGATCTTTTGGAAACGAAAAATTGTGAAGATTAGTCAGAGGTTAGTCAGAAACTGAGAAGAAAAATCAAGCACCATTTTGCAAAACTCGCAATAGTTCTTAAGCTATTAATGATTAATGATTGAAAATGACCACAGGAGCTTTTTTAATTGATGACATGAAAATTTGCCCGCTTATCTGCAAAATGGTAAGGGACATTTTTGTTCAGAATGACCTAATCTGCAATTGTGTGACGGCTATTGTATTTAGCGATAAGTTCAAGATTCAGAGTTCAATGTTCAATATAGTCATATCTATCGCCAGACACAATAGCCGTCATATAATTGTTAGGTTAGGTCATTCTGAGCAAAAAAATTCTTTACCATTTTGCAAATAAGCACGCAAATTTCTAAATTATCAATTAAAAGAGCCTCTTAAAAGAAATGCGATCATTTTCAATCATTAATAGTCTAATCATTATTGCGACTTTTGCAAAATAATACATAACTTTTCTTCTCAATTTGATCTGATTGATCTTCACAATTTTTCGTTTCCAAAAGATCCCGGACATCTTGTAGATTTCTCATGGAGGTTATTTGAGCATTAGCGAGAATGAGGACGCTATTTTCGATCTTGCTTTAACTCTTTCACTGCTGAATTAACTTCCCTTGAGAAAATTATTAAAATATTTGGTAGTCCTAC